GGATTCCTCTTGGTCTCATTTTGTTTACATATGTTTCGCCTGCGAGAATCCCTTTAATCGCCGCGAGATGCCCACTTTGCTTTCAGAAAACTCACCAATAAAGAGAAATAAAAACCAGCATACAGAGAAACAGGTTTTACTCAATCTTTATTTATATTAAATTAAAAATATACTTTTGACAGATTCATGTAACAAACATGAGGAACAGATCTCTATGATATAAACCTTTGGGTGTGTTTTTTTAAGAGCAGTGGTAACGAAAGGTGAAGCTAGCCGGGAAACCCATGTCTGCCAACACTGTTAGCATGCCCTCGCACACAGACTAACCTTGTAATGTTCTAATCCTTTTCCTGAACTTAAAGCTGGGGTACCTAATATTATTGGTCAGAAATAATACATGCTGTGAAGTCCACCCGAGGGAATCTTGTACAGTTAAAATGAGCCGTCTTCATCTTATTAGACAACAGCGTGTCTATGCTTACGTGTGTGTCACTACGACGCTGTGTGCTGAGAGCTGATTGGCTGAGAGCTGATTGGCTGAGAGCTGATTGGCTGAGTGAGGGTGGTCCTCAAAACTTGATCTAAAGATGTCAAAGGCCACATGCACCTATCTCACCCTTTAGAAGCTCACAAAGGGCCCAAGAATCATAACACCTACGCGTCCGTAGAGTGACCACGCGCAGCAGTAGGCATATCATGTGGCCGATAAACCAATTACTCCTTACTCTAATATCGCGAGCACACCACACACGAAGCTCAATCACCTGACTACACCCTGCCAACAACCCCCCATTACATTATCCCATAGTCCCACATATATTTTAAATTTCCTTTTAACCTCGGCCAACACTCCCATCCACCACTCTACCATACCCCACATATCTTCTGCACTCTTCTACTCGTCCATTCCTAAATTCACTATCCCGCTCATCCTATTGCCCCTCCTCCTTTCCTTAACGTTCGCATAGCAATCTCACGCGGTCTTTGACAAACTCAGTTGTGACTCCTTTCGCCACCAGGATTATCGCTATCTCCCTCTCTCCCAGCCTACCTCCTTACCACCTCCCATTCGACATTTCCATCCATGAGAACTCTCATAGCCTTCTCCTCCTCATACCCCACCTCATGCCCCACAACCACACTCCCATATAGACAATACTTTAATTACATAGGAGAATTATTCCATGACCTTCCCATAAAGACAATACGTATAACCCCTTTTTCAGAGATATCTCCCTATATCCCCCTCTCGCTATCATTATTTCAAAAACCATACAACACCCATACCAACCTACAAAATTCATAGAGTTACAAATTCATCTTCTCTGACTAGACGACATCCCCCATCACCGCACGCGCGTATTCGTGTCGTCCTATCACATACTATCTTTTGAGGGAGGTCACCACAGTAGTATCCCTCTACCGCCAACGACCTGATCAATCATCTCTGCACACTGTGTGTGTGAATGGCCACATGAGTCCTCTTTGTCTCATTCTCGCCCACGTGCCACCCACATTGCCGACAAATCTCAACAAAGCCCAACCTGCTCAACTACATAAGCTACCTATTGACTCCGCTTCCTTTCATCACAACACACGACTTTTGTTCAATGGGACAAACAACCTGCATCCTTGTTCTACTATCCAAAGAAAACTTATCACGCCTCCACGATAAGCCATCCTCGCTCCCTTCTGGTATGTGTCAAATCTCAATAACTGCTCACCGCTATCGACAGGGTCTAATATCCCCGCCTATGACAGATAATGTGTACCTCAGACCCGGAGACTAGACCCAGAGTTGACGTACCCTCATAAAGTCATTCTCTTGGCCGATTGCAGGCAACATCTTCCCCTCCTTTGCACCTTATTTGCACGCAAAGTTGCGAACAAACTACGTACTTTAATATTTAAGTACATTATGCAACTTCTGACACGTCGTCAACACCTAGCACAGTGGGCGATCCAGACCGCATTGATTCGTGTAACCTTTAATGCTCATTTTGTGTGTGTTTGTGTGTGTGTCTCTCTCTTAAACATATCATGTGTGGTAATTTGGAATCTGCGTCTCCCACAGCCTCTGAAAAACATCCAATGTGTGTGCGTCTATTCGGAGTGTGCACATAGACGTGTGGAGAGATACCCAAATGCCTTTTTCTTTTCTATACATTTGACATGTTTTTCACCGAGCGCCACCGCCCTTATTGCTAGATAGTACTTACGTGGGTCTCCGCTTTTCGCCCTTACCTCCCGATGTGCTCGCTTAGAGCTCACGTAAGTACCCGACGTCGCAGGTTCTGCAAAAGAGGCGCAAACAAGACACAAGTAGCGACCGAAAAAGGCCTAATGAGCATGTGCCTTCGCTCGACGACTCGCACTCAGTGCTCTCTAGGCACTCACAATCGAGATATCGCCCCCCCCCCGAATTGGCCGTGTCGTGTGTGGGGATCCCCGTGACGAATGGTCGTGTGTGAAATAACTTGTCCTGGGCAGTGCAGAGACACAACCCTGATACATGACGTTAAAGGGCACCATGCTGTCACTTCATGTGCTAGACCATAGGGCAGTTTTTCTACGCTACAATGTGCATAATGTAGTTAAATTAAAGTAACGTAGGATTTCCCACTTTTGTTCCAATTGTCCTCCCCAGTGTGTGTGTGTGAATGTGCCTCATACCGTCTCAAATAAATGCTGTGTGTGTGTTGTGGATGTATTAATTTCCTTGAATCGTGTGGTTTAGTTATCTCTAATTGAGTCTTTCTGACTGTCTTTAACACAGATTTTCACTGGGTGACAGAAAGCCAAAGTGTTGATTTCTCGTAGGATTGTTAGTCTTTGTTTTCACGTATCAATGAGGGGATACAGTTTTACGCTTATCTCATTATCTTTTACAACCAAGCTCGTTCTTTCGCGCTTTGTCCCAATGCCAAATCTTCGTTTTCATCAGGCAGTACTACTAACATGTGACTACAAATTTCGGATACATATTTGCATTATGAGGAGATAATGTCTGCTCTTATTTGATCTGGTTTAGACTTCTGCGCAGTGTATGACCACGGGCCTTGTGGCCTTCACATAGATACTCATGAAAGACCTCAATTTAGTTTATTGCTTTGACTCAGCTTGGTTTCCCATCGCTGTGCGTGTCACTGCGAACGGCTCCAGATAGGCATTCTTGGGGTTTCTCTCTCTTGTGGGCGGAGCATCACTCGCTCTCACTCTCTCGACTCCCTTCGTCTAATTGTTCAGTGTGCTCTTCGCGCTCTTATCATATACCCCCCCCCATCACCTTTAAACACCAACACCCGAGTGTCAGGAAAAGGGTTTTCTTAATGTTGGTGTGAAGATTGAGCCACCGGCTTGACAGGCGACTGTGGAGGGAGGGGTGTGTGCGTAGCATGCAGCCGCAAATCAGGCCTTTGGATCAGGTCTCGCTGCCGTGACTTCAGGAGAGACGCCGTGGACCACAGAACAGATTAATCTGGAGATCGAGGGACACCCAGAGATTAGTCCCCCAGTCTCGCGTTGCACCGCTCGATCGTACTTTGTTCGACCCACCCTCCCTCATCTCCACACACGCGCCGCGCTGCCCCTCCCCCCTCACCCATACCCCCAACCCCCCCCCTGCCCCCCCCTCGCTACCCCACATCCCCCTCCCCCCCACCCTTTTTCACTCGGCCTGCTGGTCCTCACGCTCTGGTTCTAGTTACAACGCCCCGAATACTCATTCATCTACCTTTTGTTCGTGTTTCGTTGAATGGGGTGTCTGGAATCAGGGCACAGTTTAAAAAAAGTTGTTCCAAATGTCAACTCAGGACAGTGGTTTATTTGCAGGTTATTCAGGGATTGTCATCTTTTGTCACCTCAATAATATACTAGTAAATTGTTCTTCCACATGGATTCTACATCTGCGCTGTCCTCTGTCCGTATGTGTTATTATTCTTGTGTGTTTTTATCTACTTAGTCGACGTGTTGTTTTGGACTCACGGTTTATCTGCTGTCAATCACAACTACTGGGACTTGTATCCTCGTTTCAGACTTCTTATTCAAATTCTGGAAGCTGTGTAGTCTGTGGCAGAACGGTACATGTGTGTGGGGTTTAGTAGTCCAAGTATACTGTATTATAGAACACTACTAAATCAACAGGCAAGGGGTTCCAACGAGGCCTCAAACCAAGAAATTTTGCATCAATTATGTATTGTAGGGAATATCACAGGTGATACAACAACAACACAATGCAGGTGAACATACAGTACAGTACATAAATCAAAGAGGAGTTATGGCAAAATTGAGTATACAACTCAGAGCAAGACAACAAAACCGTGGATAAACCATAAAAGTGAGACTTTAAAAAAAATAAAAGCAAGACGGAATAAACAATAAAGTATAGTTTAAGACAGCAGGCTGGGATACTGTTCTGAAATCCTATTTGTGGCAGGATACGAGGTATTCAAAAAACAGCTAAGTGAGGAGTTCTTTATTCACTCAAAGTGTTTAAATTAAAGATGCCAAACCTTTATTGGATTCTGTTTTTCTAAGGAGTAGTTTTTCCATGTTTCAGTTGATCGATGAGAAAGGTGCTTTTCTTTAGAGAATGTTAATCAACCTAATTGCTGCATCATATTAACAGGGATTTGACGCTCCTGCTCTGATTAACATTAATCGGAAACATGTCATCACCACAGACTACATGACTATTTTCATTAAGACAGCGGCAAGTTTGAATTGACTGATTTGTGCTCGGTGCATTGATGATGCTGTCATCAGGCGGACGGCTGAGGTGCTTTTGTGTTTAATGCTGCAGAATGGTGAGCAGTGCACTGCTCCCACTGGGGGGAGCTCCATCAGATCTTAGATGTGGCTCTGGCATCAATTACAACGTAGCAAACCAGATATTCGGGATAAGAGAGGAAACATGCGCCTGTGCAGGAAAGATTCTTTTCCTCCATCCACTGTGTGTGTGTCTTGGAAATCAATGAGGAAGTCAGCGGTTAGTCTGCTTCATGTGCCAGGAAGAGTTACCCAAAATCCCTGATCATCCACGTGAGTGAAGCTCCGACTCTGAGAGAAGCTCCGGGTGAGCGTGACCGGTAAGCATCAGCTAAAGACACAGTTGACGGTAAAGGCGATGTACAGCAGAGGAATATAGACTATTCTCGGACTTTCACAGGAACCGATGCCGGCACTGCTCATACCAAATAGACCTTCAAACTGACAAGGCTCTTGACAGGGAGAGACTTAATGTTTTCTTTTTCACATGTGTCCAGTGGACTTCATGTGCCTTCCTTATCCTTTCCTGCTAATTCAAATCACTGATATCATTTTGAACAGCACTTATAAATACGTATTCTCAAATAAAAGCCATCACCTCCCTCTGATTTTTGGATTAGACGCTGAATGATCAATAGGCGTAAATGTGTTTAGATGACGTCGGTCATCTGCGCCGGGTGTTGCCTCGACTGAGTTTTTCTTCTTTCTTTACTCACACACGTCTTAAGTGTACAAACAATAGTCATCGGTTCATTGGGTTGCGTCTGATGTAAGAAGCACTTGTACACCGACTGCTGGACTCATTTGTCATTAGTGCAAGAGCGGGACGGTCCGTCACTCAATAACCGGGTGGCACGGATGCTCCCAGAGGATGACTGCTGCTTAAGTAATGGTGACATGTGGAATCCTCTTGTATATACTGTTGCGCTCGGGAGGTGAAAGGACACTTGTGCCTCACTCTACAGGAATATGTTAATCCTGTATTTACTGATCAAGCGTTCTTTCCTTTAATCAATCTCTCGCTTCCTTTTGCAGCCAAAACTGAGCTGGAGATCGCAGGGAGCAAGCAGCTGGGCAGACATCAGAAGATTGTGAGTCTCTTTGTTGAAAAACATTTCACTGAGGGTTTGAATCGTTCACGTGTCATGGGTTGAAATCAGGTGATTTTACCACATTTTACAATCGAGATAGTTCGTGTATAGGAGTGCAGCAGTGCAGTTTCCTCACAAAAGTGTTGCAGTCTCTATAGTACTGCAAAAACAACATGCTCGGATGTGTGCGTAGATACACACTCTTCATCTATCTTTACCTCTCTCAAAGAACAGGCCATTGTCTTGAACAGGGCATTGGAGAGAGAGGTTCCACCTCTACCCCTTTCTGTGTGGAGTTTGCATGTTCTCCCCGTGTATGCGTAGGTTTCCTCCTGGTGCTCGGTTCACCACTAAAAAAAAACATGAACAATAGGGCCTGACATGCTCCTTCGTACGGTGCTCCATCTCTGTGTGGAGTGAGAGACAAAGGCCCAGAAGAAAACCAAACAATTGTAAGAGCCTTTGTGACTCTGGTCTGTGAAAGGCACTATTGTAAATAAAGATAATTTACCTACTTACTTACTTGAAATCTCCTCTTCAGAGATAAAGAAAAAGTGTTCAAAGCAGACCAAGAGTACAGTGGTGTACACAATATGTTTTAAGTCAGTAAACCAACTTCAAATCTCGTGTTGCAGACAGAAAGGTCAAAACAGTCCAAACTGGTTTGCCATGTCCTGTCGAACTTCCCAGTAAAATCTCTTTCTTACAATAGCCAAAGCAATGATTTAAAGTGGGGTATCTAACTTGTATGGATTTTTTAGAGGATTCTTTACTAAAATACTAGTAATAATTTACTTTTACTAATTACTGTTTTTTGTCCCAATAGCAAGATCCACAACGTGCTGTCTTAGGGGTTAGGGATCCGAATTGACACTTTATATTATAATTTTCAGTATGGATCATAATTAGAAGGACAGGCTAAGATTACATAAAGTGTTTTACAAGTTACAAGTTATCCATTCACATCAGAAAGTTACAGAACAGAGATGCACCGGACTCACTGACCATGACCGTTTTTCACACACTCTGCACATCCAGACCGATTGCACATGTTTATAGCCGTAAGAAAAACCGCAGTTTAACGCCGTTAAAACTTTGGGTTTCAGATCACCTCGGTACAAGGAGACTACAACAGGTAAAAGTTTAGATACAAAAACTCCTTAAAAGTAGGGGAGATTTCATTTCATTTCATTTCATTTTATTGAGAGCCCCATTAGCTCCTGACTTATTGCCGGGGCTATTCTACCTGGGGTCTCCTTCATTTTCATTACAAATGTTTACAACATAACAAAACAAACAAAACCACAACACACACACATACACACAAACCAACCGTGGGAGCTCAATGTGAAACCGAACAAAACATGTCGCTAGCCACACAGCACAACCGCCCGACTCAGACGGAGATAAAAGCTCATTGGGTTAAAAATAGAGGGAAGAGGCTGGAGTCGAAAAACTTAGGGGTAAAAGCTTTTATAATGGATTTGTCAAGGTCCAGGCAGTGAAAGTGGTTTTGGTTGGCCGTGCTGGTGTGGCTTTGTCCCCAGCAGGCCCCAGAGCAGACCCCCTCAGACCGTCTGGAGGACCCGAGCTCTGTTCACACCAAGCATTAGTGGATCAGACAGAGGACAAGGTGCGCTGAGCTTACAACATGGGAAGTACCGCCCACCTCAGCTGCCGACGAATGAAAACATGGCCATTGACCCACAGAAAATGGAAAAACACACCACAAAAACCACACCCAAACTTAAAGTGGCAGCGTAGCGATATAGAGTACCCTGTCACAGCAGCACCTGGAGAAAACCTGTGCAGACATAGGTAGAATATAGGGTACATATATAACACACAGAACGGTCTCGTCTGGTCCAGGAATCAAACCTAGGACCTACAGCATTGGGCCTTTACTGCAAGAAGCTCATTATAGCTACCACATTCTCAGGTCAATGATGATGTACAGGACACTCTCAGACTTGGGAGACCCTTTCTGTACTCAAAGGTACGAATCTAGAACATTATTATTATTTTTGGTCCATAAAAGTATCCAGGAGGATTTTCTACTTTTGTTCAAAAAGTGGAGAGGGCGGTTCTTTTCTAAATGTTGATGAAAAATCCTCCTATATACCTTTAAAATTCATTATTGAGTTAAAAAAATGCACATAAATGTATACGTAGGTCAAAAAATAAAAAATACAAAGTACGAAAACGTACCATGGCTGAGTGAATAGCACTCTCGCTTCGAAGCAAGAGGGTCTTGGGTTCGAATCCCAATAGGAACAGGGCCTTACTGAGTGGAGTTTGCATGTTCTTCTTGTGTCTGCAAAGGTTTCCTCCGGGTGCTCTGGTTTCCTCTACCACTGAAACAAAAAACAATAGTTCTGAATGTAAAGAGAAAGTGAATGCATGGTGATGATTGGGGGCTTTGTGCGCAAGGGTGGTTTTTAAGGGTGGGAGTGCACTCGCCTTTAGGGCAAGGGTACATTTTAAGGACTAGGGTGAGAATTGGGACGGGGCCTTTGATGGTCCAGCGTGTTCGGCGTCTCGCTTCCGTCATCATTTGTGTTTACAAAGTATTTTAATCAAGCACCAAAAATGTAACCAAGATGAAGATGTTCGTCCAGAGGCATCACTTGAGCTTTGTTTGGGTCAAATGTATAAAAAAAATCCATGTTCACTGATTCTAAAAATAAAGGTTTAAAATCAAAACAGTCTTATACATTTCTCCATTGTGAGATGAATGAAGTTTATCTTATCTACATTATTTTATACTTTTCAAAGTGAGAATAAGAGCCGCACAGTCCATTACTAAATACAGTCCATATGATATTGATTTGACATTATAAGCCACATTATAGATTATGATTGATGTGCTACACTGACAAAATCCCAATAAACACATTTTTGACTCTGTTTTGTTAAAATCATTCCGTCGCGGCCATGTTTTCAGATCGGCCCATCGTCATTCCCACTCAATGACTCCCTGTCTCCATAAGCACCCACTTAACCCAGTTGGATCCTCTTTGGTCCTTTTCTGACGGCGCTGACAGCGGGCTAACCCACACTAAACCTTTGGCACCACTCCGCCCAAGGGCCAAAGCTCCACCACCGCTTGACATTTGACTAAAAGCATGAATGATGTGGCGTTCTGGGTGGTCGGGGGTGCGATCGCCGAGAGTGGGCAGCCCGCATCGTCTCGACTCGAACATTCTATCTTGTAATTGGATTTTTTTTTGCGCGTAAATATGTGTTTCTTGTCAGGTGCGTGGAGGAGAGAGAAAGAGGAGAGGGGGGTACAAGCATGCAGACAGCTCTGACAAGCAATTACAGCATGGCGTGTAAAGGACAGAGAAAGAAATATGGAAGGGGAGGGGGAGAGCAAAAGAACAGCACTGACAAGGTACAACATGCTAGAATATCATCCATCCATCCATTTTCTACCCTTTAATCCATTTCTGGGTCAGGGGGGTGGCAGTCAGAGATGCCACCCAAGTCTCATAGCACCAGCCCCTCACTGACCCTCTGCAGGTGGTGAGTCCACAGGAGGACGGCTGCTCTCTGAGTGTGAGCATAGCCTTGATCTTTCAGTGGGGGCTTTTTGGGCAAAGTGGGGTTAAGTGTCTTGCCCAAGGACACAACGACAGCAGTCATCAGTGGGAGTCGGTGGAGAAGGTGTAGAGGTGGAAATATCAATGTTTATCTAAAAAAACATTTGGTGTTATTTTTGATCCATGTTTATGTATTGTGTATTTAAAGAAGATGTGTGAAGTTGTGTAAATCTATCAAATAAAATAAAAATTCCAGTGTTAAAAGTACTAGTAATAGCAAGTCGATTGTCTCTGAGGGTAGAGTCATTTATTTTGAGCTGTTGTAAAATCAATATAAAAAAATTTATTTCTTTAGACACAAATAAATCCTACTTTTAGTACAAAGCCTTACCCGATTGTAAAGAATAACATATTAATTTGCCTTTTTAGACACACAAAAAGTGGTGGTGATAAACTATACAGTAGCGAGGCCATCAGTATGTGACATCGGCCCCTTCGACCACTACCAGCCATTCACACACATCACACTCATTCTAGGCAATGTGGGTGAAGTGTCTTGCCTAAGGACACAACAATAGTTTGGCACTTTACAGCCGCACCTGCCCCACTGTGGCACCTGGTGTTCCCAGAGGTCTCCCATCACAGTACTAATTCAATCTGAAGAGACCAAAGACACAATTAATACAATCAAATTATTTATTTGTTTGGCGCATTGACCCCGGCAGTGACACTTGCAGTAATGAGATCGATTGCAGCTGAAGATGATCTCAGATCCCCCGGGGTCAAGCACTGGTGGTGGCTAGAGTATGGTGTGAATGGAGCGTAGGCGGAGCAGGAGCCAGAGCAGGAGCCAGAGCAGGAGCCAGAGCGGGAGCCAAGAGCCAGAGGGGGTGCTGCGGAGGTGGTGGGTGTTTAAGAGCCTCAGGAAGCGTTGTTTGACAGGAAGTGGCTGCCTTTTAAACTGCCCGCTTTGCTGTGAGAGGGTTGGCAGGAGGCTGGCCTGGCTGTGTGATTGGCTGAGGCTCGAGGCAGGCCTGGCTGTGTGATTGGCTGAGGCTCGAGGCTGGCCTGGCTGTGTGATTGGCTGAGGCTCGAGGCTGGCAGGCACTCGGTCTTTCAGTCTGAACCTGCGCATTCAGCTTCATCAAGGTCCTGCCCTGCTTAGCTTCAGAGATCTGATGGAATCTGGCTTTCACCTGCAGGTATGGACACAAAATGTTGTCGTTATTCTGTATCCGAGTAAAGTTTGTAACAGGTAAAGATTAGAGTATTGAAGTTTATTTTTTTTTATTTTTATTGCATAAAGCTTTGCCAGTCTCACATGTCTCCTTTCACATATAAGCATTACTTTAGTGGAAGGTAAATCTTCAAAAAGTTCTGGTGGTCAGAAATTAAAGACAGAACTTCCAAGCCCGTTTCGGTCCAAAACAAAATAAAAACGAGACCATAGCCTTTATAAATAAACGGGCCTAAGTTTATCGGCTGCCGCTGTGACGGATGGGTGTCCGGCTCTCCGTCCTCCCCTTGGACTCCTGACGATGGAGAGTGCACCTCCAGGTTCCTGGGAGGCGCCGCAGTTAGCATCCATTAGCTTGATGAATGAGCTAATTAGCCGCAGTAAACACAGCAGTGAAGATAGCGGGCGCAGACGGCTGTGAAACGACCACTCGCCAACGTCTCCAGGAAGTGATCTTGAACCACTTTAGTCACTTTTATCTTGTTAAGAGAAAATGGAACAGTTTACATGTGACATCACCACTCAGTCAAACAGCATTATTGTTGTGGTGTGGACTTTTTTGATTATTTTGACCCGGTTTGATTCCTGTCTGTGTGTGTTTGTGCTACTTTTCCCCACTTCCTGTCCGTCCATTGGGCCTCATTCACGAACCGTACTTAAGAACAAATTTGTGCATTCATGAAATTTTCTCGTAACCAGAATTTCGCTTGGGTACGTAGAAAATCCTACGAATGCTCAGGAGCACTCGTACGCACATTCAGGGCCGACACGTTTGCACGCTGGTGTTGTGAAGTTCAATAAAACAAAACATTACAGTGATATGTCCGTCATATTGATGTATGTATGTATTTATTTAATTGTTAATGGTAATTTAGCCTATTTTTTTATTCATTTTGAAATGAAATGCTTTATCAAATACATTGGAAATCTTGTCGTGTATTAGTGACCCCATCCTATTTATAGGGGGTATTTTTTTATCCACGGGCCACAGAACAATCTAATATATACTGCTGCTGCAGGAGGTTGCGGGGTCTTTCCCATGGATCTATACGGGTCTGCACTGGTCTCTCCCATGGATCTATACGGGTCTGCACTGGTCTCTCCCATGGCTCTAAACGGGTCTGCACTGGTCTCTCCATACGGGTCCGTGCTGCACGCTCCTGGATCCATACGGGTCCGCGCTGGTCTCTCCAGTCTGGTCCATGCGGTCTCTCTTCGGTCCGCGCTGGTCTCTGCGCACCTGTCTTTCCAGTCAGGTCTCTTCCGTCTACGGTCTCTCCTCGGTCCGCGCTGGCTCCAGTCAGGTCTATGCGGTCTCTCCTATAGGTCCGCGCTGGTTTCTGTGTGCTGGTCACTCCAGTCTCTCCTTGGGTCTGCATTGGTCTCAGCGCTGGTCCGCACTGGATCTCCTCCCAGGGTCCAAAATATTTTGGGATTAATCTCAAAACATTTTGAGATTCATTTTTAAATTAATACATAATCCATCCATCCATCCATCCATCCATCCATCTCATAACATTTTGAGATTAGCCTCATCATATTTTTAGATTAATCTAATAATTTTGCTAGTTCGACTTTATTCTCATAATATTTCGACTTTTAAGTCAAGATTTTATAACTTTATTCTCAGTCTGGCAAAAGAAGAAAAAAGGGTGACTCTTTTGCTCCGTGTAACTCTTTGCTTAAGGCCTGTTGCTGTTTCCTCTGGCGTCTGCACACGGCCCTGCAGTCCCTTATATGGGCATTAATGGGTGGTTACCTATGCTAAGTACCTATGCTAATGAAGCACCTGGCACGCGCGCTCTACTTACGAGGAGTTGGCATTCATCAATCTGAGAGAACAGCTGCGAACAATTCAGCGGC